CAAAGCTGGTCACCAGAGGGATTAAAGTCTGGAATGGAGTTTTGAGTCCCACTGTCATGTGTAGCCTCCAGGCAGGGTTGCTCATTTAGGACAGAAGAAACCAGAACTCCCTCTGGCATTCCTGGCAAGAGAACGAAGGGTATTCCTGGAGCTATTGCTTTGGGGGCTATTGTTCTTAGACTGCCTAGCCAGTTTCTATGCCCTGGCATCACATAAGCACTGTGGAGTCCCATCGAGTCCTAGCTACAGAAGCGGAAGCCTGAAGGTAAGACACATACTCTCAGGTTTGTTTTGACTTGTTTTGTCTTTTTTGTGTGGAGATCGGGTGTCAAGCAGCACAGACTGGCCTTGAACTCCCTCTGTTATCTTGATCCTCCTGGCTCCACCTTAGAAGTGCTAGGATTATAGGCACACAACTCGTAGCACACGTTTTAGTTAGGGTTTCTATTCCTATGATAAGACACCATGACCTTCAGGAAAGAAAGGGCTTATTTCATCTTACACTTCCAGGCAACAGTCCTGCACTGAAGGAAGTCAGGACAGGAACTGGGAGACAGGAGCTGATGCAGAGGCCATGGAGGGGTGCTGCTTACTGGCTTTATCCCCAGGACTTGCTCAGCATGCTTTTTTGTACATCCCAGAGTTACCTGTTCGGGGATGGCACTACCCACAATGGGGCTGGGCCTTTTGTGGGCCCAGACAAATCACTAATTAGAAAACGCACTACAGTCTTGCCTATAGGCAAAACCTATGGATATGTTTTCTCAATTGAGAACGCCTCTTCCCAAATGACTCTGACTTGTCTCAATTTGATATAAAACTATCTGGGACAATATGCTACCTATGTGTTGACTCCTGAAAACAGGAGAATAGCCAAATTGTGGATAGAGCTCCGAACCAATTTCTATTTAAGCATTAAGCTCATGCAAATCCAGAAGACTTTAGCCAGCAGTAGGATCATCATAATATTTTGTTGGTGAAATAATGAATGAATGAATGACTTCCCTAACTTGTTCCAGTACATTAGGGGGTTGTAGTCAACCTTTTGCAACTCCTGACCACTTCCTAATCAACAATGGTAAAGTGAGTGCAGACCATGTCCCAAAGGTGGCAATATCTTCACCTGAGTACCCTCTGGGTCACATTTTTTTTAACCATTTGAGAAAATCCTTCAATAAGAAGTATAATGGACTTGTTACCCATTCTGTATCTTTTTATAAGTCAACTTAAGTTTTGTTCACCTGTTTCTTGAGACAGGCTCTCACTCTATGGCCCTGGTTAGCCTGGACTTCTCCTCCTTTCCCAGACTGACCTCTAACACATGACAACTTTACCTCAGCCTTCCAAGTGCTGGGACTGTAGACATGTACCATCATGCCTGGGACGACTGAATTTTCTAAAGTCAGTGTCAGTTTGTATCAAGATTTAGCAGAACATACAGCAGTCCCACAGCCCACTTGAGCACAGCTGCCCTGCTGTCAAAGTCCTGTACTCGAGGAGGGTTTGTCAGCACTCAGGGATCTTTCCTACTGCTGAGCATCAAGAGTTCTTTGTAGACTTCGGATAAATGCCTTAGGCTTCCTAAGACGTGCCTTCTGCAAATACTTCCTCCCAGTCTGTGGCTTGTCTTCTCATTCCCTTAGCTCTGATGGTGCCATCACACGTAAACCAAAAGAGAGAAAGTGTTCAGTCCAAGAAGGGATCCCCAGCCTCCACATCACTGAGCCACCGAGCTGGAAAATCCCTCTTCTTAGAGAAATGGTCCTATGCGTTATGAAAAATGCGTGGTCCTACAGCATTTAGAAGAATCCCAACCCCAGATTGATTAGATGCCTATCACAGCCCAGGCATAACAATGAAAAATATCATCAGACGGTAGCAAACATCCTCTGGCCACAAATTATGCCTGACTGAGAAGTTGTAATCCAAAGGAATGAATCAATGATGATGAAATTTAAGTCAGCAGTGAGGAAAGAGAGATGCTGAAATATTTTGCTTCAAAGTCCTCCCCAGGGCCCCAGAAACCATAACAGTGGATTTATATTGAGTTCATTCTGTTATGTGTGCTGATCCCACATGCTAATGTATCCAGGATCTATTTCTAACACTTAACACAATTAGATATACTCTTTCATTCTCTACCATATCCCTGTTCTGGGCCTGGGAATGTGTCACAGCAGAAGAGTGCTTTCCTAGCATGCACAAGACCTTGATCCCAGCGCTGTAAAAAACAAAAGCAAAACCTGATGCTAATAACAAAGTCATGATGACGCATGACAAAGTCCACAGTTCATGTAGAACTACAAGCTGGTCTTTCCTTGGTGGCCCTCTGGCCTGGGAAGCCTGTGCTAGTCATTTATGGATACCTAACCATTCCAGGGCATGTGAAAAAGGAAGTATGGACTCATCAGCTTTCTGAAGAGGCCTTAGCTGTACGATGCATAGTGCAGCACAAGACACAGAAATAAAAGGTCAGTGGTAGCACTTGGTGCCTGCCAGGCTTGGGGAATGCTCGGCAAGGCCAACATGTGTGCTGTGCATACTCACTGCAATGTAATTCTATAGAGTGTGACTGGAACGTGGCAGTGCGATTTTAACAGCTGCTTCCGTAACATGATGCTGTGCTCTCCTCCAGTTTGTAACAGAAAGACCCTGAACAGGTCAGAGTCAAGCAGAAATAAAGCAAGTGACTCAAAGTGACCCTTTTCTTTGTGGGTTTTTTGGTTTGTTTGGTTTTTTGTTTGTTTGTTTGTTTTGAGACAGAGCTTCTCTGTGTAGCCCTCGTTGTCCTGGAACTGGCTTTTGTAGACCAGATTGGCCTCAGACTCAAAGAGATCTGCCTACCTCTGCCTCCCAAGTGCTGGGATTAAAGGCATGCATGACCCCCGCCCAGCCAAAACGATCCTTAAATTAATGTCAGGTGTATTTACTGGCAATCCTATTGCTGTCTCTCTAGCCCCATTTTGGAACTAGTACAATTACCATACAGCAACACTGTCAAAATTGGTTTTCTTCTGATTCTGTAAATGAGTGTTATTCCTTAGTTGCTACCCAATTAAACATAAGCATTGACAAGGCAGCTGAAACAAAGAATAAAATAAGAATTAAAAACCAGTGGCCAGACATGGTGACTCATGTCTAGTGCCCAGAAGGCTAAGGCAGGAGGATGGTACATCTGGGCCTAGCCTGGGCTACATAGCAAGCTCCTGTCTCACAGAACCTGAAAACCAAGTAAATAACAACCAGAAATTTGTCTGTATTTATCATATTTTAACTTAAAGACCGGGTTCTGGTTTTCTAAGAGTTTTAAGTGATCTAAGAATTTAACAAAAACATATTTTCTTTTCTGTTTTTTTTTTTTATTTTGTTTTTCATTGGAGATGGAGTTTCATTCTGTAACCCAGACTAACCAGCTAATTGTATGGCCTAGATTGGCCTCAAACTTATGACAATCCTCCTGCATCAGCTTCTGGAGTGCTGAGATTACTGGCACGAGTCACTATGCCCAGCTCAAAAGTGTGATGTTTATCAGGGACATTGAAAGGCAAACAGATCATATCATTGAAATTAGCTGTACAATTACCCCAACGATGTTCTTCTGTGTGTAAGTGCCTCTTGCTAACTGGCTGCAGCACAGGGACCATTTTATGTGTCAGGCCCCAGAGCACATGGCATGGCCTGAGTCACAGCTAATGGCACTGAGCAGGGTCTGTGCTTGAGCTGTGGCAAGCGTTCTGCCTGCTTCAAATCAGTATTTATGACGAGCTTGGCAGATAGAGATGACATTTGCACACAAGGAGTCTGGCCCCAGACCCGTGTCTTCAGCATTGTTTGAGGCCAGTCACTGAAGTGACCCAGGGAATTTGGAATACCAATGCGAGGCTTTCTGCTGAGGGTCAGAGCAGAACTGTTACCATACATCATTGACTTGGGGCAGATGAGTGTTTCTAAAATGCTCTTCTGTGTGAGTAGGCATTAGCTGGCAATTCAGGACTAAACTGTGTTTACCTCGATTTCATGTTTAGTTAGATTTTCTATTTAGAATCAGAAAATATTACTTCTGACTTTGGAAACTGAACTCGAGAGGCTCGTGAAAAGACACGTGTGTATCAAGAAGGCTGCTTGGACTTGACATGGCTCTTACGGAAAGAGGGCTTTCTTAGGGGGAGTGTAAATGAGGCGACACAGAAGGCTGACATTTCCGCTGAAATGCTAAGGTTTGAGAATCAGTGAATGACCATCTTAAGAAGGAATACGTCCGACTTCAGAAGGCCTGGTCCTGCCTCCCTCCTGACCACCTTTATTTTAGTTTTCCCTTAGCTGTGGCAGAGGCTTTCCAAGGTAACTGATGTTTTAGGAGGCAAGCTGATGAAAACAGCAGAAAGGAGTTGTGTGTAGCAGCATGCTGGCCTGAAGCTTACTATGTAGCTCAAACTGGCTTTGAATTCACAGTCATCTTCCAGCCTGGGCGTCACATGTATTGAAATTGCAGGTGCAAACCACTATACTTGTAAAATACACTATGTTTAAAAAAAGGGGGGGGTGGGGGAGTCTTGGTGTTATTAGGACTTGAATGATGGAGGAAATCTCTCCAATCTGGGGTAGGACAGCCCTCTTCTTCATGGCTATTTCCAGTGTTCAGCACTAAATCTTTTGCTTCAGTTCCCAGTCCTCTTCTCTAAAGTACTAGAGAGACAGTGTCCACAATCTGCTGAACTACTTTCTGTTTCTCCTCCAAATCTGCTGTGAATTCCATCCTTCCAAATGGTAGTCTTCCTGGGCCTCTTGGTTCCGCTTGTCTTCCTGGATGAGACTCCCCTCAAGGACGAGCCCTGGAATCTCAGCTCCATTTCTGGGGTAATTTCTGCAGAAAAGCAAGTTTGGCATAGCAAGCCTTACTATCCACAGTGGCAGTAGGTGGGGGTGGGGAGGG